AACTTTTGAAACACAATTCAACTTTAAGGTAATTCTGCTGACCTCATTCAGAGAAGCTTCATGTTCAGCTTCAGAAATCACAAAACTGTCAAGTCTGGCTCACCGGGCCGGACTTAGATTTACCAGGCTCAATTATGATTTACCAAGTGCACAGAAAATTTTGGCCCAGCCCAAGTATTTACAATGAATTGCTCCTTATGCTACAGCCTTGTTGAATAAAGAAATTCAACATTTTCAGGAAGAACATTATGGATTCTACTGGAGCACCAACTCGCTTCCGTGAAAGTAAGCGAAGAGGACAAAACCCAAAGCAGATGAACGACGAGATCACTCGAGAAGCATCGTGCTCCACCAACGACCCCCCTCCTGCTTCACAGTCGAGTCAGTCAACATCCGAAATACCTCAAAGGTGCTCTACGCAATCCACTACGCTTTCTGAACCAATCTATCGAACCGTCTGAACCACTCTACTCATTAATTTCATTTGCCTTTCGAAGATCCAACATTTCTTTGAATACAAGTGTAGCTTCTAACAACATTACCATACTAAATTTGTCGGACGCTTCCCTCAGAAATATCTCACAATCAGCTTATTTTTACTGCTCAACATTACTATACCTGGATTACCTGGATTGGCCAGGCTATCAAACGTTTATAACGTTGCTGGCCACAATGCTCGCTTTTCCATTCGCACTGTTTTAGCCTTGATTGACGCCATCACGCTGGCTAGGCGAGCAAGCCAACCGAACACAGCCGAGTAATTAATTAGTTGACGTGAATATTTTGCATAATTAATCGTAGCCAAATACCAATCCGATAAACCATCATAACGTTACAATATAATCATTCCGCCGATCTACAGGTAACTCGGATCAGGCATAACTCAGTATGAGTGAATAATTCTGTAACATTGAGTTTGAATGCTCGCAATTCTACGAGCATTTATGGTTTTAAGGAAGAAGCGACGTCTGCATACCTATGAACGTGCTCGTGCGGCCTACGAACGGATTCAAGCGGAACGTAAGGCTGAACGAGAACGACAACAAGCGGAACGAGAGAGTCGACAGAAGGCCCTAGAGAGTTATTTGTCAACAAAACGTAAAATGGATAAAGCGTTGAAGAAGCGAAATAAGAAGGGACAACCAAAACTGAATGCTCAAATTGAAGTTTTACTAGAAAAAATTCAAAAACGACAATCTCAGTGATCAATTCCAATTCCTTTTCTTTTCAAAATTTTCATATCGCAATTTGTTTCTGTCAAATTCACTTCAATAAATGAATTAATTGCTCGTTGAAGATACAATTTTGACCACAAAGTCGAACGTTGTCGTGAACCAATCCAGTGATGAGCTCATACGTGCTAATCATAGCCTAGTTAGAAGATAGTTTAGGTTCAGGCTCCTGAACGAACCTTCTCCACTAGATAGGGTTTCGTTCTCGTCGAGTGCATGAAAGACTTATGCATAATTCGTTTGAGTACGGTCCATCTGTTATATTTTTTTAAGCGAAACGATCAAGCATTCAATTTCAACGGTTGAGTTTGTAAATCTGCTGGGTGGGAACCTTATA